CGGTATACCCGCCTCGGCCAAAAAATAATTGTACTATATATGAGAGCATACCCACTTGCTCCTTCATAACCTTTCTATCTACCAACAACCACTACACCACTGACCTCAGACATGCTCGAACAAAAACATAGTGGAACAACTATACACTGTTTTCACATTTTATGATGACATAAGTTCCTGGCTAATACAAAATGTGTTCCTTCCTACAGGACGGCCGAAGAGCGTAAAAGAGCAGGATGTGTACATCTGTGATTACCGCTTGGACAAGTCTGCTCACCTGTTCTATAAGATCCATCGGAACCGCTTCCCAGTCTGCACCAAGCCGTACGCCTTCAACCACTTCCCCAAGCGGCTCGCACCCAAAAGAGACTTCTCGGTGAGAGTGGTGGGGGTGCTGCACTGGGATCTGGTTACTGATTTATAAACACTGAAAGATATTTTAAGAGTGGAGGTAATATTACAGCCCAGGGCACATTTCCCTTCGGCACCTCAGAAAACAAATGAGAGAACCTGCAACTGCTTTTTGTTGTTTGCAGTGAGCCACATTCAAGTATCTGTGGAATGTTTTGTGAATTTTGTTATGTTGACAACTAATTATGTCCCATGTAAATTGTAATGCTAATAGACTTGAGGAGAGTTCAGTTTAGTTTGTTTTTGCTTTCATGGGGGACCGGATGGATAAGTTTCACTCCATTAAATTAGTCCAGGGCTGTGTCGGGTAAACCTCACAGAAAACTAAATTAAGACGACTCTCCTAAACTTCTCCTGTGATTTATAAACTATGATGCACTGATTTTATTGTCCATTTGCAAACCCTAACCATCAGAAACCAAAGTCAGCTAAATTAGATACAAAATACTTGCAAATACTGTTTGACCCGGGACTAATTGTGATTTTTTTTTTTTTTTTTTTTTTGCAGCCTCACTACGTTCCTGACAACTACAAGAGGAACGGAGGTCGTTCTGCCTGGAAGAGCGAACAACCCAAAGGAGCCGCAGGCTGCGAGGACGACGGCTCTTCCTGCGACCGGGGCGACGACTTCCCACCCGAAGCTGAAGATGGGAGAGGAGGAGAAGAGGACGACATGGACACGAATCCAGACGAACCTGAACTTCTTTCAGCTAAGCACAGAAGAGCGGAACGGGAAGGGGAAGGGGAGGCCGACGAGGACGGAGACGAGAAGGACGACGAGGACGACGAGGACGGGCAGGAGTCTGAGGAGTGCAAGGAGCTGGAGGACAGTTCTGCAGAGAGGATAGGAGAGATGCTCGAACTCCCGTCGTCGTCCGCCTCCTCGCCGCTGCACCACTCAGTGCTGGGCAGGAGGGAGGCCCAGAGGGAACGGCTCAACAAAATTCTGCTGGATCTGCTGCACAGAACTCCCAACAACAATGGTGAGGGAGCGGGAACAAAGCAGGGGGGTAGGTCATCAGATAATTTAGGGTTTTTAAGTTTCACATCACTTGCATCATTTAAACATTTTTGGATGAAACATCTTTTACACTGTTTCTAAATGGTTAAACTCAAAGTTGGGGCAAATAACTGCTTTAGAGGGAGTGGGGGATAGAGAGTGAGCAACATCTGCAGCTCACATTTAGCTGTTATTCATATTTGTGTTAAACTCTTTTTGGCATTCATCTAACAGATGGCAGTCTCTGTTTTCGGATCTGTTGCTTTCTCTGAGTTCCCTCCCATGCAGTGTGTCAGTCCGTTGTCATTGCTTCAATCTGCTGACAGTATTACAAAGAAGTATCTAAATCTAGACCAACTTTTAGCACTTAACATTCAATAGCTAATCTTAGTGTATCGAGAAATAGTCTGGTGAGCGAAAACCAACAATGAATCGATCCTGCTGACAAGTGTTGCTGGTGTAGCCGATGCCTGATACAACTTATTCCTCTGTGCCTTAGACCTCTACCGTTGTTCAAAAAACTATTCTTTGTGAGAAACGGTGGCTGAATCTGTAGGCAATGGGACAACATTTTGGCATAGATAGTTTGCGTTTGTAGTCTGGCGAGCAGTCTTTGATAGAATGCAGGTTAACAGTCCGATTGGAGAGCGAAAGAGCAGGAACGCATTGGTCGAAATGTAATCTTGGAACTATCTAGCTAAATCATCAAATCATCTAAGAGGCGTATCCGTCCTCCGACCGATAGCCGATGGGTTCAGAGACTGGAGTGTGACGAGGCAACAGACTTAACACATTAATGCAGCAGCCTGAAGCACTGAGGTAGAGTTTGCTGACAAAGAAACAAATTCATTTCTATTTCTTATTTGTGGATTACTCGTAGCACACCTGTCAGGTGGTTTCAGATAGCCACAAACAGTTTTTGAGCACTTTGAAGCTTGATACACCAGTAACAGAAGAGACACCTTTGCTTAACTTTGATTACTTTGATTAAATTACTCTGTGTCAGCTGTTTCTTAGCTCTAATCCTCCCCCCCCCCCCCACCCTCCTGTTCTTCCAACAGCCATAGATATCTCCTATCTCCTGGAGGAGGGCGCAGGCCGCCGGCTACGGCGACGGACGCTCGGATTCGGTGATTTCGTGGGCAGAAAATAACTTTGCTACGTGCCTGTCAAGCACACTGCCTTTCCTGTTTGTGAGCAAGGGGCAGAACATGGAGAGACAGCGAGAAGGGAAACGCTGCATTGTTGGTTGGCCGACCATTAAGGACCACAATGCGTCCCTGGGGGCCTCTTCCAGGTTACCTCTTCCAAGACTGGTCATCTCAACTCTGAGAGGGTGGAGGGGGTTTGGAAGCGCTGACTCCATGGCAATTTCAGCTTTTCAAGAGTTCTCAAGGAGCCAGAAGAGAGAGCTGACCCAGACTTCTTGCTTGTTTAAGTAGTATGATGCAAAACCTTTTTTTTTTTTTTTTTTTTTTTTAATGACCATAGGAGAAATAACCCATGCACTTAATTGCATTGAATATTACAGACATGGGCAGATGAATTCCCCTATCAAGCATCGTAAATGAACCAAGTGGTACTGAATAGGGAGGGATAGATGGGAGTGATGGTTTCAGTCAGTGGGGACGTGAATGCTGCAGATTTGTTCCCCCTAGTGGGACCTAGCTGCAATGACAAAGTATAACAGGAGAGAAGATCAGCGCCGGGACACATGGGGGAGAGAATGGCATAGGAGAGATGTAAGGTGAGCGGTGTGCTCACATGCTGCTCGTGAGAAAGACAGAACGAGGGTGGTGAACTGCACTTTTGGTACCATGGATATTGTGATGCTCTGTGTAATGTATCTATAACGAAAACACACTAACACTCTCACAGTATTAGATGATGCAGTCTGGAGAAAAACACAAAAAAAAAAGCGAGTTTAAAAAGTCTATTATCTTTTTCCTGTTATACAGTAGTAACTCATTTAGGAACAGAAGAAGCCGAGGGGGCGTGTTTGGGTTTTTTTTTTAGGGAGGGGGAGGGGGAGATTGAGTGTGCGCTTTTAGTCAGTCAAAGTGTCTTGTTGAGGTTTTCATTTTAATCTTTTGATTTTCTTACGAGGCAGTCAGCTTCGCCCGTCTTAACATGATTCACCAGCTTAACTAAATCAGGCGTTTCGGGGGGACACCGGCTTCAACTGTAACGCCTTACACAGCCGTGCTCTCCGACTGCCTTGTGTGCGAGTGTGTGTGTGCGCGTGCACACTTAACGTGTGTCTGTACTCTGCCAGATTTCTTGAAGATATACCTTTTTCAAAAAAAAATGGAGAAAAAAAAATTAAGGGCTCGATGGCAATTAACAGTTTTAAGAAAACTATGGAGAAACAATACTTAACATGAAATGTATCGTGATGGTCATATTTTCTTATCTCCTGTGAGACGGGTGGGGCGGTGTATATTGGGAGGGTAAAGAGACTTGAGACTTTTTCTTTCTTTAGAATATGTTCCTGATTGCCATGGAGAATGTTTTAAAAAGAAATTGTGATATTTAATGAGATTTCTTTTCCCCCCAAAATGCCTCTGCTGAAAAGGGACAGCCTGCAATGTCCCAGTGCGGTTAACAAGAACGAGACACTGACGGAGGGAGAGCGGGGGAACGGACAGCTGTACAGTGCCAAGTTATGTAAATACACACACTTACATTGAGTGTCTCCAAAAGCAATATCTTGAAAAATGGATTTTGTTTATTATTGTACTGTACAGGACTCAGCCCTAAATGTATTATGATTATTATAATATTATAATTTCTTCCGTTTGTATTACTATAATGAAGACACTTAAGCTCGGAGGAAAATGATTTTTTTAATGTCCAGAAAAAGCTCACCAGACCTGTCCGGACGACATAGATACTTAAGCTGAGTTTTCGTTGCCTATTAATGAAATTCGTCTATGTACTGCATGAGCGACAAGAATGTCAAGTGGACACAGAAGGCATTGGGATGACAGTGACTCCGCAACGACACCTTTGTCACTGAATATTGTTAATAATATTACTTTTTAAGGAGAAATGTACTCCTTGTTTTTTGCTGCAAAGTGTTGAACACTAAAAAAACAAACCAACATAAAAATGTTATGATATTTTTAAACGTTGACTGAAACAAAAGTAAAGCTGTCAACCCAATATCACGTTATTATTTTTGTTTTATTTTCAAATAGGAAATGGTTCCGTTTTGTGATAGCGGTCATCGTATGATGCTTGTACTTGTATTTGTGTGTTTTTGTGTGATTCGTTTAGTTCTTTTTAGACAATCACAAAATAAGATGCAAGCATTGTAAATGGCAGACTGGCGGACATTTTGTGATGTGTACAGTTTGTCAAAAAACTTCTTCCACTCGTTAAAAGTTTGTAATTATGATTCTTAAGTCATGAAAAATGCTGTTGGTTTTTACTTTTTGTTTTATATTTGTTTTTTTTGTTTGTTTGTTTTTTTAATAAAAAGCACTACATTATTGTGAATACACTTTATGTTGTTGTGCTTTTAATATTCCTTAGATAATTCACAAAAAATGCAAAAACGAAGCGACTTATATCCTAAAATTAAGGTATAATAGGGCGTTTGAAATGCTGGACATGAGACGGTTGACTAGAGACAGTGAGCTCTACAGAGTGAAACATTATGCAGGAATTCAACTTTTTAGATATAGAGTGCAAGAAAGGGGAGTTACTTGAAGTTGCATCTGCTGCTAACTAGTTAGCTAGCTAATTCCACAGCATGATGTCATGCTACACCGGTTACAGAAAATGGGCCTGACAAAGTTGTTACTCATCTTGCAATAACAATGTGCTTCCCTACACTGACAAGAGTGTGTGGATGAAACATTAAGTTAAATGTCTACTCATTTAGCGGTGGGCTCGCTAATTCCACACCATGCTTCTCCTTTGAGTTTTAATGGGTTCATCACCATCTTGTATGTGCATTACCACCATCTCCTGGACTGTAGACTGGCAGGAATAATAAGTATATTATTCTGTTACTCTCAATTGATTAATTAGAAGATTTGTACATTCCATGGTGTCTTCCCAAGCAGATTCCTCAATGTAATCTTGTATTTTACATCAATTATTTGTGATATTAATTCCCTTCGTTAGTCTATCAGTACATATAATAATAATAATTGTAACCACTGTACATATTATGAAAATAATTATATGATTAATAATCCCAACACTACACATAGTTAAAATATTATTAAAAGAGTGATTTGATGAATTACCATTAATGAACAATTATGAAAGATTATAAAATGTATCAATTTAATTTGTGTGATAAACTATAATTTACAAAAATAATTTCACAGAACACCACAGAATTCCCTCGGGTGACCATACACTTTAAGAAAGTGGGCGTAAGTTTAGCGTGAAGTGGGCCTTGCACGGTCTTGTACACGGCCCTGTCCCAGAGACAGTCCAGTTGATACTATTGAAGAGGAACAGTCAGCTGAATTCTCACTGTTTTGGCACCGTCAATTGACGACTCAACTCTCGCGATATTACGGCGTAATATGGTTCAACGACACGCTATCATGAATGTTGATATTTTCAGCACTTTTACTAACGTAAAGGACACGTAATATTTCCCAAAAAGCAAATATTGAAAAATTATAATTTTCAAACAATACCAAGAGCGAAGGGTAAGCCTCCAAGTACCTTACGAGAAGTCTCGCGATGAATCCTACAAGTTGGGTTTAGTTGTTTACCGTAGTAACGCCAGTGAAGCCCAGGATACAGCGACGTTAGCTCACGTATCTACAGTTGTTTAACTACATTTTGACTCCGAGACACAACAATGCCCAAAGAGAGACACAAAGAGAAAACAGACGAGGCAAATGCAGAGGACGAGGCCTCTAAACATACAGGTTAGATGAGTTGATCGTCAGCAGGTCAGGAATAAAGTAGGAGCTGGTTCAAATGGACTTGTTGCCGGTTTTAAGCCTTTATTTTTCGTACTTTGACATTATGTGACAACACATTAAGGTGCTTGAGAGTATGACTGTTGGTGGTTGTAATTGGTTTAGTTAAAAAATGACAAATTGTAATATTATGTACTAATCGTTTTGATTAAACTAAGCTAATATAAGCTAAACACTTTCAGTCAATGAGCTGAAGGAATGCACATTGTAAATATGGATAAGATGCATTGTATTGTTTAGAATGATGAGAACCCATAATACCTATTCACTTGCAATATAATATAAATATATATATATATATATATATATGTATATATATATATATATATATATGTATGTGTATATATATATATATGTATATATATATGTATGTATATATATATATACTTTATAATCAATAAAGTATCAGCAGCAGCCCCCTTCACTGACAATACTATTCATTTATGTCAGCTGTCATTGAAACTTTTAGAATCTCTCTATGTAGATTCTCTGTAAATTTTATAGGCTTTCAATGATTAACTACATGTTAATAAAAATATGGCATATGGTACTATTTATCTGTTTAACTGGGATTTTATTTTGATGGGTTTAGGTAAATACACAGCTTTTACAATGAGCTTTGGTGGCAGAAGTAGGCTACTAAGAGTAGTTAATAACACACTATAAACATTCCATTATGACTAAAAGCCCAGCATGTATAACTTTGTAAAACAAAGCAAAAGTATGAGAAGCAAAACATACTTCAGCAGAATCAAAGGTTAGGCCTAGCATACTCATGTGGTGGCAGAATGGCCCCTGTTACAGTAAAAAGTGCAATATTTCCCTTTGAAATGTAGTGAAGCACAATGATAAAGTACATTAAAATATAAATAATTAGGTTAAGTACACATATCTGGAAATGGTACTTAGATGTGATACGTAGTTACTTTCCACACTGGACATAAGTAGTAGTTTTTAAATAATCCAAACAAAGTCATCTTAATCATTTTATTATGTCTGTTCATCATGAAATCATGTTTTGTACATTTTATAAAGTTGTAAGAATAATAACATTTGTTTTGCTTTAATGCCTCTACAACTTGAGCATTCGCACATTCACTAGCTTTAGTCACATTGCTTGACATAAAGTATGATATGGTAATTCACAAGTGGTCAATAAAAAGGAGAATTGCTAAACTCATTCTGTTGTTTTTAGGACGTACTCCAAATGAAGTTTTGCCTGATCAGAAGTTTGGTGAGTAACATTGTCAGACTGTTGCTGTTTTTTGTTTTTTTGTTTTTTTTGTCAAATGACAGTTGTATTGTCACTGCTTTAAACCCTCCATCACACAGACGAATATCAGTGCTTGGGCAAGGTGGAGATTGACTTCCCTGGGCTTTGTGATCTTTTGGACATGAAGGATATCCCAACTGTCAGCACCAAGCAAGCAGCCTCATCCACCACTGAAACTGAAGAAGAGTACACAGGTAAACCAGAGCTGCTCCTAATCTAAACACATGGCAGACACATACTATCTTGTTGCACCCTGTTAAAACATGTTTTCCAGTGTTAATTTATAAATGGAATTGTTTGTTCTCTGCAGCTGATATTGTGAATTGCTGTGAATGGACGTTAATTAAGTAAACATTGATAAGATTCTATATTAATTCTAGTTTGACGTACCTTGAATCTGATTTAATTTTAGATTTTCTAAACAGACACTTGTAGGAGTAATCCAAAAATATTAACCAAAGAAAACCGGACGACCTAGGAACACTTGGTACACTAGAAATATGTCTCCCTGTACTGTATAGTTCATCATGTTGGAAGTCTGAATGTACAGTCACTGTCCTTTCTTATAATCTCAGCTTCAGCTGCACCAAACTGGTCTAAAGCATGCCTCCAAGTGGAACTGGAGAATGAAGATCCCCTCAGCGCCAAGAAACTGACGGTTTTAGGTAAGAAAAAAAAGAATTTGCAGAAAAATATTTACAGCCATATTTGACATTCTTTCTCTTCTTAAATTCTCATTTGACTACCCCGGGGAGCAGTCTGCAACCAACAATGCCCCCCAATATTTCTGCTGGATGTTGGAGAACACATAATATAATCTGTTTCAAATACACACAGGATGGAAGGTAGATGAGCAGATTGCCCGAGTGCTGCTGAAGATGTTTCCCTCCTTGGACAAGCTACAGAGCCTTCAGTGAGTAAAGAGCTGATACCCTCCTGTTACAGCCGTCCCTCTTTTGTTCTTGTTTGTTTGTGTAATCTTGACCTCTGTGTCGCAGGTTTTGGCAGGCAGGACTGACAGATCAAATGGTAACCTCCCTCGTGAACACAGTGTCACTGTGCTCCAACCTCAGGTGGGCGGATTCTGCTGGCACTCACACTGTGAGACTTGTTGACAAAAAAGGTTGTAGAACTGCCAGGAAATTTACACCAATGTGTTTTAACATTATCATTCACACACTGAGGGTTTGCTGATGGTTCTCCTCCTCTTTGTTTTATGTTAGAGTTGTTACATTGGAGGGCAACCATCTTCCAGAGCGGAGCTACCACCTTCTTCTCTCTGAAGACAGCGTGTGAGTCACCAAGTGTTTACACATCTCACATAGTAATATAGAACCTGTTCAAATAGACCCTCGACTTGCATTCGCACACACAAAAAGAAGCACCCACATGCCTGATTCATGTTGTGTGTTTCTTTGGTCAAGCCTCACCCACTTGTACCTGCGAAATAACCGGATTGGAGACAAGGGAGCTCATCTGATTGGGTCGGCTCTCTCAACAGCCAGATCTGCCAACAAGAACCTAATTTACCTTAACCTGGCTTTCAATTGTATCGGTGATGCAGGTGCTACACATATCGCACAGGTATGACCCAGAACGGACCCCATGTTTGCACCTATGTGTTCCCCTCATGACTGCTGAGGTGTAGTCCTCATCCTGTTTTGTCTCTCAGGGCCTGCGGTTCAACCGTGCTTTGCTCATGCTCTCACTGTGCAACAATCAGATTGGAGACTCCGGAGCTGCTCATCTGGCTGCGGTATCCATTTACATGAACGATTTTAACCTGGCACATCAGTGATTACATTGTTTCAAATTATATTCAGATAATTGCATTATATACCGTAATTTAATACGCCTCCACCCCTTTACCGCTAACGTTTTTAGATTCTTAGTGAGTTCGCTCTCACTCATGAAGAAGTTGTGGAGAGGAGGAAGATGCTTCTGGAAAGAACACAATCTGTAAGTGCAGCAATTCTACCTTAAAATGAATCCTAATTCTAAACATCAAAGGGTCTTGGGTCAAAAAGTAAATTGATATTCATAACTCTGCAAAAATCCTCTGGTTTGAAAGGTTTCAAACAGGTTCTCACAAGTATAGAAGTGCAGGGACATGTATGAGACATTCTAATAAACACATTAAACTATACTCTCACAGTCATCTTCAACTGTGGATTCTAACCCGCCTGCTGACCAACCTCTCTCAGTAGCCACTGCCAGCAGCAGTTCACTGAGCGTCAGCAAAGGGGGGAACAAAGGCAAAAAAAAGGTAACAAGCCAAAAATCTGTGTAACTCATTTGGTATCTGTGGTTAGTAATCTTGAGATCTTTTAACTAACAGATAACATCCAAAAGAGACAAGAAACCAGCTGCCAACAAAGAGAACCCAGAGTCTAACAAGAAACGTAATCGCTTCCATCACAGAATAACACTTTTTGCTGTTATCCTCTGACAGCTGGGATGTTTATTTTCTCATTTTCATTCATTGCTGTCTCTTTAAATCTCCCCCAGTCTCTGATATAAAGCTGACTCAAAGTAAAGCCAGAGAGCCAGGGGAGCCAGAGAAACCACTACATGCACAAGAGGTACCAGAGACATGCTTTCTGAATCTGTGTACCAAGCAGCACATGGACACAGTACAGTACTTTTAATAATTCAGTTGTTTTACTTTGTTTTTGGGGGCAGGATACATCGAGTACTGCCCAGACCGAGGTTTGTTTGATGCAATTTTCTGATGAGCAAAAAGCTTGTCCTGTCACACACTTGTCCTGTCCTGTCTCACCCTCTCCATCAGAAGGGACAGTCGGTGGAGATAGTGAACCCCCTGCTGGACGAGCCGGTGCAGTACAGGGATGGTGAGCTTTTTCTGCCTGGAAACAAGGCTCTCGCCTCCCTCAACTTGGCAGGTCGGTAACTGTGGGGTGTTCCTCTCAGCTTGACACGAGACATTGAATCCGAAACCCTTTCACATCAAGGTATTTCCAGCACAGATACAGTTAGGTTTGACGACAGGAACATTTTCAGCTAAACTCATAAATGTTGAACATCAATTATGTTGAGAGTTCCTCAGAATCAACGTGCAAAGGTTTCTTTTTCAAAATATATTACTCTTTTTTTTCAGAAGTCCTACATGTAATATTTGTCATTTGTTTAGAAAAAACACAAAGTTTTATTCTTTACAGATCACATTACATTAATGAAATCTATTTATTATCTGTTTTGTACAAGCTGGTCGCTATTTAACAGCTGCTTCTGCAGGACTATGCGTGTAATAAATGATGAAACCTCACAAGGCCTATTGAGGATTCAAGTGAAATGGTTGTGTTGTGTGTGTATTTGTGTAGGAAACAGAATTACAAGGAAGTCGCTGCCTCTTTTCCTGACATCACTAGAGATGCAGGGGGAGGGACGACGCCTGCTGCGTCTCTGTCTGCAGGTGTGTGTCTCATGCCAACACTTTGTGTATTTGTGTGTGTGTGTGTGTGTGTGTGTGTGTGTGTGTGCAACTGTGCACAATTAATTTAGTTCATAGTTGGGCTTTATTTTAAAACGGCTATCATTCCTATTGGTAATAATATTATTGTACTTGCCAAGTTAATTACTGAGATCTGGGAACATTGGTTCAGCTACATTTTAAATGTGCTGTTTTTATTTTCCTTTATTATCTATTAAAGCATATCATTTGACAGAATAATTTAAATTTCACTGAAATAATCTGCACCTAAAGTGCCCCACTTAGTGCATTGTTTAATGGTATTTCTGCTGAAGTAAAGTATTTTATTATTGTGGATTATTTTAATTATATTGGACAAGGTATTAGTTTAGGTGTATCAGTATATACTGTCAATACACCACGGCCACGTTTGATGGAATCTACAGTGTTAACTAACAGTTGCAGAGGAACATGAAGATGATGTGCGTGATGATTTCTGATCTGTCTTTTAGAGAAACCGCTTCCCACCAGAGTGTGAGTATTATGTGAAGATAATGGAACTGATGACACTCAGAGATCCACTCAAGAAAAACAGCTCCTAACAGACAGAAGAGGAGGAACAGTTACTAGGGCGTATACTAGTACTGAGAGAACTAATCTAATTTTACTGACTGTGTACTTTTCTTTTGGTATATAACATTAAAAGACATGCATTTATTTTGCCCTCTGTTGTGCTTTTGTAACACATGAGATAAAAAAGTGAAGTATCAAGAGAAACAGCCTTGTGGTACATAAAAAGGCAGTGCCTGAACAGAAGGACAGTGTGGCACATTAAATTCCAGATGCTTTGCCCAGGACAGTTAATTAGAACCCTGTTTACAGATCCGTTTTACTGCTTTGTTTTGCTCACAGTCAAAATATACATCAAGGACAAAGAGAACTACCAGATACCAAGAACCAAGTCGATGAATCATTGCTATCATATCTTACAATTGTCAGCCAGTGTGACAGGTACTTATTGTTTTATCTGATTCTATTCTACCCGGTCTGGTTCTACAAAGATCGAGTATTATTCTACCCAGATTTAATCCCATTCTACACAGATGTGGTGTGGTTCTACCCAGATCTGGACCTATTCTATCCAGATGTAGTCTGGTTCTATATCTGGTTATATTCTACCATGATGTGGTTTGGTTCTATTCTTCCCAGATGTGGTCTGGTTCTACCCAGAACTGATCCTATTCTACCCCGATCTGCCCTGTCAAATACCAATTACAGAACACTCAAAAGTAATTGTATTTCAAAAACAAGTAACAGAAGTACTGCCCACCTCTGATTGTAATCTTTGCAAATATCAAATCATTTCACTTGGCCATTTTTTATTTCCTGGATTTCAAGACTTTCCTTTGAGATTATTCATTAACACTTTTTGTATGTCAAAGAGGATATCTTTAGGGGTTCGATGCAAGTAAAATAGCTTTTATTGCCATTTGCGTGAGGTCAAGTTACATTATTACTTTCATAGTTTGTGTTTCCAGGCTGCTGATAGCCTGATATTAGCTTCAGTTGAACTGTAAATATCTTTATTTTTCATAGGAGCTATTTATTTTGTCCCCATCTCTTATAATGAAGCTGAGCTATGAAGGGATCGCTTCATGGCCAGTATGAACCGGAGAAAGGAACACATTCAACCAGAACTCTTTCAATTTTGACAAAGTTTGTCAGCTGCCTGGGGCCATAAAGAGCCACCAGGGGGCCTTGAAGGGAATTCAAATATGAAGTAGGTAACACTGTTCATTTTCATTTCAGTGAATAAACATAAACTGTAGTGGCCATTTCTCCAATAAATCAAAAATATAACAAACAATAATCAAAGGCCACTGATGCACCGTGGTTTGTAGTTTACGCAGGCAGAAAAGAGTAAAATGTCCATACAGGATTCTGATTTTTGTTCTTTATTTAAGTAAGCCAAACAAAACAAGCAAACAAACAAACAAACAAAAATAAGAAATACTACTCCTGTCTTACGCTGTCTCTCCTGTGCTGGTAAGAAAACTATAAGCCCACCTCGGTGCATGCTGGTCCTATCTACCTACTCCTATATAGCCACAGGTGCCCACAGTGTTTCCCCAAAGAACTAACAAACAAACTAACCAAAAACTAAGTATACTTAAACAACAAAAAATAATATAACTAAACAAATGACTATTAAAGAGAAAAAGCAATTTTAATATATCAAACAATCAATCTAACCTAAATAAGCAAACATCTAGCATAATTAAACAATACTTATTAATTAAATAACAAAATATTAATATCAAATAAATAGCTACAACATAAACTATTACAGAGCATATTGGCAAATAATTGGACGTGCAATAATAGGCTACATTTTGTGATTTGTGATTACCCTAGCAAAATGGGGGAGTGTGTCTTAAAATTACAATATTATTTTTATTTTTCATACTATAAACATTGTTTTCTTATTTTTGTCAAAATAGTAGTTGTTGTGTGTTGTTGTGCATAGTTAGACATTTGGGGATTAAATTGATAAACGTTTGCTCGGCAGAGGGAGCGCAAACGTTTATATACATTCAGCACTCTGTTGGTGTACAGAGGGAGCAGGGTGGAGTTTGGACCTCACCAATATGGCGGCCACGTCCTGTGAATTCGTCACATCCGGTTCGTGCTCAAAGGACCCACCGATATCAACCCGTCGCTTCCGGTAATGCCTCCTTTTCGGCAGCGGCTATTTCCTCGCCAACATGCCAGTGAGTATTCGCAGGCCGTTGCAAAATGACATTTCTAACATATAATAGCGCGTTGGAGAGCCGCCCCACGGCTCAATTGTTACGTAATAAAATACCGAATCGACTGGTGTCAGTTTCAGATGCTTTGGTTCAGTTTTGGTCCCGGTTTTACACAAATAATTCCGCATATTAGAGCGCATTGCGAGCGCGTTGTGACACAAGATGGCCGCGCGCACTCCGCAGACATGGAGCCAGTTGAACGGAGGATCTGAACGTGCTTATAACCTCATGAATTTAACATCAACTGTCGTAGTTTCCTCTCGTTTGATGTAGATAGGTCGATGATTAGGCTAATGTTCAACTGGTCCCCTGATTTATAGTATTACCCGCGATTTACGTAAAATGCATAGCCTGCGTTACCTAATCCAAGTCATATAGGCCGGCCGAGGAGCCTGAACCTACCGAATAAAAACAATGCCTACTCTACAGTTGAAGCATTATGATATATCTGAATGACCAGTGTTTATTTGTTTTACTTTAACAGCCCGTGCATTATCTTAAATAACAGTTTAACCTGCTCTAACAGTTTACGGTTTTCTACTAAGGTTCACCAACCCTTTGTTCATTCTCCTCTTTGCAGCTCGCGAAAGACTTGTTGCATCCGTCCCCTGAGGATGAGAAGAGGAGGCACAAGAAGAAGCGTCTTGTTCAGAGTCCAAACTCTTATTTCATGGATGTGAAATGTCCAGGTATGGGTTTTTTCCTCCATGCAGATCCACAGCCAAATAGTTCCACTAGTCCTCTGCATAGGACTGAACGTCATGTGGTCTGACTGTTTCTTCATATATTGAAGTGGTCGCCTCGTGAAAACGTTCTCTTGTTCAGTAGCCTCACACTTCATTGAATGTCAACCAATATTTGATTCAGATGCTACAACTCTGTGCTTGACAGCCAACCAGGACCATGTTCATTATAGGAACCATTGATTTATTATCGTCTCTCCCAGTGTGACAGACGGGTAACATTTTCTAACATGGCCTAAGTTCACCTGATTGTCAGCATTTAGCTGGTGCTTCGGACCTCTAAAAACGGGGATTATTTGTGCATGAAATAAATTCATGTGACATATTTTGAAGTTTATTGGCCGCACTGCCAAGTGACTGGACTTCCTCTTCTGTGGTCTTCCAATCTCATTCCGGTGCCAGAGTGACCTCCGTTTGCAGAAGGGTTGAGCTAGACTCATGACTCCCCCCTTTCGAAGACAGAGAACACATATACCTACTTTATAGCCACCGTTTAGTTTAACCCCGATACTGTTGGGGGCCCAGTCATTTGGTATAGCGGGTGTCTATTCTTCTACCTTGAGTTGTAACCTGTCTTGTTTTGCCTCCTTCCAGGATGCTACAAGATCACGACAGTGTTCAGCCACGCTCAGACAGTCGTGCTGTGTGTCGGCTGTTCAACAGTTCTGTGTCAGCCCACTGGAGGCAAAGCCCGTCTCACAGAAGGTCAGTATTCACCAACCACATGCACGTCACACGGGTATCTCACCCACATGCAGTTGTAGTCAAGTTGATTGGTGCGGCGAGGCATCATACATGCACGCCCACAGTTTTTAAGTTGCTGAACTACGGCGTATGTCCTGTAGGAGCCTCAAATGTATGTTTTTCAATTTGTTCAACAATAATTTATTGAGGCAAGCTTTTGGTAAGTGTCCTTCAACAGCAACAGAACCTAAAATAATGCAGTACCAATGTGATGCCTTGTAATTTACTTTTACAATACAGTGCACAGTTAGTTTTTCCACAATAGACACATTTATCTGCACTAGATCAACCAAAAAATAACTTCTATTAGAAGGCGTTCAAGAATTTCTTTAAACCTGAATGTGCAGTTTGTTAGTTTAAAGCCAAATAGTTCCACTAGTCCTCTGCATAGGACTGAACATCATGTGGTCTGACTGTTTTTCATGTATTGAAGTGGTCGCCTCGTGAAAACATTCTCTTGTTCAGTAGTATTTAGGAGATATTTAACTCAGAACTCACACCAGGGACAAAGGGAAAACAGTGAATACATCTTACTGAACCAGTGAATTATTATCTCTCCCAGTGTGTCAGACGGGTAGCATTTGATTGTCAGCATTTAGCTGGTGCTTCGGACTCCTAAAAACAGGGATTATTTGTGCATGAATTAAATTCATGCGACACATTTTGAAGTTTATTGGCCGCACTGCCAAGTGACTGGACTTCCTCTTCTGTGGTCTTCCAATCTCATTCCGGTGCCAGATTGACCTCCGTTTGCAGAAGGGTTGAGCTAGCCTCATGGCTCCCCCCTTTCGAAGACAGAGAACACAAATACCTACTTTATAGCCACTGTTTAGTTTAACCCGATTCTGTTGGGGGCCTGGTTAGCATCACGTAGCTCGTCTTATCTTCGTGATTTAATTCTTGTCGGTTTTGCTGTCGACGCTTCCACCAGCCACGTGTTGCTTTAGCTACTGCAGTTCTTACTGGGAAGTGATTAGTTGACCTAATAGGGCACATGGTGGGGAAGGATGGCTCTTGAATCAGCACTATGTAGCACAATAGCGGTGTGCACCACATGCAGTGTTTCTGTACTGTAAGGCTTCTGTCTCACTGTCTTTGTCTCCTCTATTAGGGTGCTCATTCAGGAGGAAGCAGCACTAGCTGTTTTCCCCGGAGCTGAAGGGGAGAGGGAGGGATGGACCGGTCGATATCGGCGCCTTCTGCCTCCCAACATGGCGGCGGACCCAGTGGTCTGATCTGAAACGAGACCCGAAGACCAACTCGACAGCAGATGGGTTCCCACTGTTCCGGTTGACAGATCGGTTGTCGCTGTAACTCTACCCTCCATCCCTGTCTCTCTTAATAAAATATTGTTTTGGCTAATGGGATGGTCTGTGCGTGGTCAGTTTCCTGTTTGAATGGAAGGATTTATTTACTCTGATTCATTGAATGCAAACGCAGTAGTTTCATCATTTATTTTATAAAGTACTGGAGGTTATCTCCATAATTCTGTTGGTTTACATCTTAATATTAAAACACCAAATTGTACTTCAATTAATGCAATTTCTATTACCTGATCAAAAAGAAGTGCACAATTATTAGGTAAGGCTGTTTGACGTGGGAGTGATAATGGTTACCCAAAAAATGTCTGGTGTATATTCTGTTTGAGTTAAAGTATTATTCAGGGCTGTGACGTAGTTATTTGCATTATATTTAAATTAGTATTTTCTCTAATTCACTTATAAGATGTCACAAGACAGTACAAAATGCCATAACAAGTTGTATCTTTATTGTAATACATACTGTATAAAATATAATTTATATGTAGGATTTGGGACACGGCACTAAGGTTTAGTACTGAACAGAGCAGCAGTGTGTTGACTGCTCATGAGTTCAGCTTCTCATTTGTAAGGGGATGTGCTCTGTTTTCAGAGGTACACAGTTCATTTTGGAGGATATCTAAAATCCTCTGGATGGGACAATCTGCATGGCTTTACCTATATAATTTACTTCCATGAAGTACTATACAGTGACTTAATTGTTTTAGAGATGTACTATATGACATTTTTGATGTACTCATTTAGACTTTCATGACTTTTGACACACTATACTAACTGACTTTTACCACTTTATTGACATACTGTACTAAAACGTTTTTTAGGACTTTTTCCACATACTATACCACAGCTTTTTCATCATAATACACTGAATTTTTTTACCACTTTTTTGACATACTATATGGCCTTATTTTGACATACTATATGATTGGCTTTTCCCGACATACATGACCTTTTATGTCATACTATACCATTACTTTGTTTCGAAATACTATGACTTATTCCGACATGCTATACTATGACTATGACATTTCTCTTCATGTTATACTATGACTTTTTTATTTACTTTTTTGACAAGTGATACTATGACACTTTTCTTTTGGACTTTGGACATGTGTTGCTAATACTTTTATGACTTTTTTCTACAGACTATACTATGACTGTTTTTGATAAAGAACACTATGACTTCTTATGACTGTTTTTGACATACCATACTATGACTTTTGAGTCACAGTATATATACAGTATTGCTATATACTATGACTTTTAATCCTAGTATATACTATGAGTTTTTAGTCTCCGAATAGTATGCAGTATTTCTGTATTTTAAGTCCTGTCTTTTTTCTGTCTGTCATTGTGTCCTCTATCAGGGTGCTCATCCAGGAGGAAGCAGCACTCGCTGTTCTCCCCGGTGCTGAAGGCGAGAGAAGGGATGCTCTGGGTTATATCAGCAACTTATTCCTCCCGAGATGGCGGCGGTCCCAATGTTCTGATCTGAAATAAAAGCTGAAGACAAACTGGACAGCAAATGGATTCCCACTATTTGCTTTCACTCTTCCCTCCAACCCTTGATAAAATATTGTTTTGGCTAAAGTGTGGTTTGTTTGTGGTTAGTTTCCTATTTGAAGGAAGAGATTCCTTTACTGTCTGAAACACTTAATACAAAGGCAGTAATTCTATCATTTTTTATTAGAAAGTACTACATATTAACTCCATAATTCTGTCAAATTACATATTAATATTACAACACCAAACCATATTTCAATGTATTCAATTTTCATTACATGATAATAGGAAAGTGCAGTCTTTACAGGTAAAGCTACTCACTAACATGGAAGTGATAACAGTTCTCCTGAGCTGTCCAGGTTTATTTTTTGGTAGAGCTAATGTATTGATTAGGGCTGTGACAGCTCGTCCATAAAACTTCACAAAACAGTGAAGAATGGCCATCACAAGTTGTATCTTTATTTTAACAGCCCAAAATAATCAATTTACTAACATATAAGACCAAGAAAAACAGCAAATCAAATTGTCCTTAAACAACTCAATAGTCACAGTTTGGTGGCAAGTTGTTATTTTACTACCACCATCTTTTTATTTTTTTCTGTCAGTCCAGCTAATATGTAAAAAGCCTTCATAGGAAGGGAATTATGACTGACTTCTACATTTTGGTTTCATGGTATTTCTGCCACAGAAATGGGTGCTACCTATTTCTTTATACAATTTACATACTTCTGTACACTCTTCATTTTGTTATATACATGTATCTGTTCACCTCCTGTAAGAGTAATGTCCCAACATCATTGCTATAGCTGTATTAAAGGCAGATAACTCCCCCAGGAGCACTTGAGAAGCCTTTATTTCATCTCCATCACCTCCCTAAGCCTCTTTCTACCTCTCTACGTTTGCTCCAGCAGTCTCCGTCTTCCCCTCTCTCTCCCTGAGCAGGTGGCGGATGGAAGAGTTCTGCGTAGACAAGGTGCTGGACAGGAGCGGCATCAGGCTCCTGAAGCCCTCCCTCAACTCTTCCACGTGCTTCTCCAGGCTGTGGATGTGAGTGTCCAGCTCCCCCCTACAGCCCTGCACCTCTGACAGCACGTCATACATCAGGGTTTGCATCTACATTGGGGTTGATGTCCGTAGGGGTTTATGTAGGTCCATATAGAGAAGAGAAAAGAAAAGCCATTAGGTGCTACTTTGTTGCGGTTTTGCCAGTTTGAGATGGAAAACGATGCATTGACTTGCCTCTCTCACCTTGCCGAGGTCCACAAGTGAGTTCCCCTGGTCCACCAGAATACTCTTCTCTATCTTCATCTTGCGCAGCCTGCAGACACAATTATTTAGGTGCTACAGGAGGTCAGTATGATATTGCTACTTTTATGATGTAAAAAATGTGATGAGAAGAGAAATAATAAAAAATAAAATACATTAAGTCGATTTTTGAGTGTACTGTTGATTAACACATTTCTAATTAAATGAATTAATTAATTTGCCTAAAACTAATTTTATGACTTTTTATGGCATGCTATACCGTAACTTTTTATGATTTTTTCATGCCATACTATACTATGAATTTTTTCATTATATTTAAATGGCATTATGACTTTTATATGGCATCATTATTGCACAATAACCATAGCTGCATTCCGGTTCACAGTGTACACAAACAGTGCTCCCTGTTTGGGGAATGTCGGTTAAGGGAACTTCCCTTGACAAAAGTCAGAACACAACGTTACCAACGCAGACACACGATACAATCACTGTCTTTATGGCATTTTTATGACAGTAATTTTTTTTAATCGCATATTATACAATTACTTTTTGATTACTTTTCATGGCACACTACATAATGACATTTTTATGGCATAAAAATCCATCCATCCATCCATTTTCCTCCGCTTATCCGGGGTC